ATCTCCAGTCAGCTTATCACTTGACACGGCCACCACAAAATCAAGTGAGAGGCACTGGTTTCTGAAGCCTCGTCTGCTACCAACAAAGGTGCCCTAAGAGGCCATTCCTGGTATGTCATTAGTCCCCTGGGAGGGTTACATGGCTGCCCAGGTTGATTGCTTGTGTTCACTTCACGAAACAAACTGTAAATGGCCAAGACAGGACATGGACCATGGCTAGCTCAAGAACTAGAGTATGAACCAAAAGGGTGTCATGAGGGGTGGGTGTGTGTGTGTGGGGAGAGAGAGAGAGAGAGAGAGAGAGAGAGAGAGAGAGAGAGAGAGAGAGAGAGAGAGAGAGAGAGAGAGAGAGAGAGAGAGAGAGAGAGAGAGAGAGAAGAAGAAGAAGAAGAGAAGAAGAGAGAAGAAGAAAAGAAAGAAAGGAATAAGAAGACGAAGGAGCAGCAGAATAAGTAAGAAGAGGAAGACAACGAGGAAAGGAAGAGAGGAGAAGGGGGAGGACTGAGGAAGCGTAAATGCGGAGAAGGGATGGGGGGAGGGAGAAAGACTAAAATTAAAATAAACAAAAAAGTTTAGGATTGGGGAGCTGGAGGAAATCACTCAACACTATACATAAAAGGAATGAGATAATGATAGGCTGTTGATGTTTAAATGCATAAATTAAATCTCCCTTTAGCAGACATTGGAGACTGTCAGCACAGGGTGTGTCCTATTATGGACATTTTCCTTCCTAGAGCTATTTCCAACCTCTGCCCCACGATCTGATGTGATGCACTTCAAAACGCCATTAGTTCACTCAAGTGATTTTGGTTCTATTGATGATGTAAGCTGATAGTTGTTTATTATCTGATAAGACTCAAGACTGCACCGAACTGGTTTGGGTATGTCTCCCTTCAACCCGATTGTATCGGACTTCTCGTCCCAAACAAACCTCTGGAGTTGAATGCCTCCTTGCATTAAACTTCTAGCTGAAGTAAAAGTCATGCACCATTTAAAATTAGCTACAGTGCTTTGGAAAGGAGCTTATGCAATTGTGCAGGTTTAAACTATTAGTAAACGCAAAGGCTGGTGTGAGTGATCACACATGTACTTTCACTAAAACTACTTCCAAGCCCAAGTCTGAGACCTGCTCCTCTCCCAGCACATAATTCACTTGTCCACGCCACGGTTACGGACGATGTGTGGCCAGCATCCCTTCAGACAGGTCTCAGCAGGTTTGAATCAAAAGGCCCTGTGTTGTCACTGCATCATGATTTTAATTGTCCCTTTATGTTAGACTTAGCAATCAGATCGCAGGCAAGACAAATGAGAAGGATAAATTCCAAACAGAGAACAAGGACCATTTTACACAACTTTACTGCGGGGAAGTGGAACTGATTGGAACCTAAATCTATATTTATATGTGTGTCTGTTGCTAGACATATATTTTTATACTTGATGGTACTAGAACACAGCTGCTTGTAAAAAGGTTTTTATGAGTGGTTTCAAGAGAGCTGGTTTTCCCGCCGAGGATCCTCTGAAGTGGAAACAGAGTCAGAATGACCAGTCAGGGATGCTAGGTGCACCCCGCCCAGACTGCCACCCTAAGCAACCCAGCCTTGTCCCGGCAGGACAGCCTGGTGTGGAACCCTCATTGATCACTCTGCCTTCCTTTTCTGACACTGTCTTTTAAGCCTTTCGTAAAGGACTCCTTCCTCTTGGCAGATCTTTTTATCATCCCAGTCTGGCACATCCCGGTGAGATGAATAGAAGGAGATGCCTGTGAGAGCGGCCCTGGCCTAACGGAAGCCGATGGGTGGTAATGGGCCACACCTCGGAGAGGTGAGCGTAGCAGGCAGGTCCTGCTGTTGGCAGGCAGATTTCTAAAACTGTGTGAACACTTTAATAAGTTACCACTCCTCTGGGAGCCGGCTACTTCCCTTCCCACTTCAGAAAACACATAATGGGACTTTGTGTTTCAATTTCATGTCCCTTGAAAACGGAAATCTTTCCCCTTATAAGAAAAAAAAAAAAAAAGAGTATAAAGAGGGAGACGAAAGGCAAGAGAGAAACGAATTAGGCAGCCTCGGGAGCACGCTGGCTCAACAGGGAAACTGCGACCAAAGCGGGCTCCGTAATCGTATAATGACCTTTAATGAGTGTCTTGGGAAACAATACGGCCCCAGCATAAAAGACAAAGGGCAAAGCCCATCATGGCTCCGCTGACACTAATTCAACATGATTTTCAGAACAACTCAAGAATGTAAGAGAAGTAATCTGATCCGCCCATCTGACCTCACTCTGATTCCAGGGCCCTTCTCCTGCCATTTCTAATTGTCAAACCCTCCACATTTCACATCTGCTCATATTTAATGAAAAGCCCGCTCTCACCACCGCTCTTTGAGTCAACCAGCTCTGTCAAGCGGGCACCACCCAACCCAGCAGCGGCGCGGGAAGGCCGGGCTGCCGCTGGAGCTCTGCCAGTGGAATTCCACATGGAGACAGGCGCGTTTTAATTGGAGAAGAAGGGCTTATGTGGGCGCATCAAGGGGCTCAAATTGGAATGGGTTTTCCTAACTTCTTATTAACGGTCAAAGGTGAGTGATCTCACACAGGCACGGATGAAATCTGCTTTTGTTTGATGGAGTGACGACGGCAGAAAGACTGATGAGACAGGGAAGGCAACCCCCCCGAACCCTGAGCTGTCAGTACCAGTTAAGGCTTCCACATGCAGCCCGGAGCCCCGTGATTTCCATGGTGGGGCTGATTTCAGATGGGCAGGAAGGACAACAAGCCCCCTCACAGGATGTTTCTGAGAGCGCAGGGCAATCCCAAGCCCAGCTCTTCTTCTCCTGGCCTCCATCAACACTTAGATTAAATTGCAGAGCTGAGAAATCCCTCCAATTATGGCTTCTCCTGGAAACATGGAAATTACACACACTGGTTCGTGTGATGGGCCTCACCCAGGTTTTGCTGCGACTGGAATGGGTGACCCTGGCCAAGACATGACCACAAAGCCTTAGTTCAGAGCCCGAGTGGCTCCTTCCTTTCCTCCACTGAACCTCTGGCCAAGGTTTGAGAGCCCAGCAATTATCTGCAAACAGCAGTTATGCCGTGGGCAGAAGGGTAGCCCAATGGCTGACGGGTACATTCCCCACAGTCAGTCAAAGCCAAGTGGCCTCACCCCGAGGCTCCTCTTCCCCAGCTCATGGCTCTGAAGCTGGCATCTTGCCACACTTAACAGACACACAAATTCTTTGTGCGGTTGTGACGGAGTACACCTTGGTAGTATCCCAGGACGAGAGAGAACTCTTACGATGAGAGTAAGGGGTAAGAATTCATACTGCGGCATCTGTAAGAAACATTGTAAAGGGACCTTCTTTCTAAAAGTTCCTTTGTAGCAATGTCAAGACAAGACTTAGACAGTCCCAAATCCCTCTCATCGAAGCCCCCATCAGCTATCTCTCTTACAAATGAGTCTTGTTCCTTGGCACTGTGCTGGGGAGGCAGGGAACCATCAGTTTGAGAGGGTGATTCTCAGTCCTAGGTCTAACTTTTCCAGATGACGCCAACACATCTCAACGCACACATCATGCCTCAGACCTGAGCTTCAGGGACACCAGCAGCTGGCCTGGGGCCCTTCTCCACTGCACACGGTGACATCAGGACCCTCTCCGCCCTCAGGGCCTCTGTCACTGTCACCCAAGCACACCGGGCTGGGACCACCTTCCACGTCAGCACAGGTGAGTGGGCCCAGTGTTCTATGGGAGAAAATGCTCAGAGCAGAGGGCTCTTCTTCATCCTTGTTGCCACTGGGAATGAACCCAGCTGGTGGAAGCTTAATCCCACCGGATTTGAACACTTAGCGGAGACACTGGATGGCAATACGGTCACCGATACATGTATTAGTTGCTTTAAGAGGAAGGGATGAAGCACAAAAGGATTGTCTTCTGCCCGCCATGCTACCAAACATGTGAAGACAAGGTTGCAGCTACATGTATGGCATCCAGGTCCTCACGAGGAACTGCTGTCAGAGGAGCAACCCCTTCCCAGCGTCGCTCTGTACAAGCGGGAGCTTTCAGGGACATCACCTAGGAATCATGTCAGCAATCGCCAGCAAAGCCCCGGCTGGGGATGGAGATGAGGGCTGTCTCAGGAACCTGGCACAGCTCAGCCCCGTCAGCTGCCAGCTCAGGACCTCCACGGGCCCTTTAACCACCATGAGCCTGCAGGCAACCAAGAAGGCTGACCCAAGGGCCCATGTGACACACTCAAGGAGCTCACGGGGGTCCATTGCTTATGGCTTTGGTTATTCACAATCACAACTGCTACAAGATGCCTGAAACAGGGGGCTACATTTTTGGAAAAATAGAAATAAATTTGGAACGATGCTTTGAATTAGTCATCGTTTGGAGAGGGAGCTCCAGACTCCACCAGCTTATCTCCTAGTAGGTTGGAAGGACACTTTTTTCCAGAGCACAGGACACCATTTGGCACTGGGGGAATGAGATACAGATTAGGGGGACACAGTCCAAAAATCCTCCTGCATTGAAACCTTGCTGTAGTATGGCAACTATCTAAACTCATTAAAAATAATTTACAGTTAGAGCTGGCCTGTTCTCGCTACACCATTTTCCTCCCTCCCCTTCAACCCAATCCAATGGCTAAGCTTTCCCCAAATAGTAAGGCAGGTATTTCCACACACCGCTATATTAACATTGAATTTGATCTGCTGTCACCTTAATTTCCATCTATATTTATGTAAAGGGGAGGAGGAGGCTGTCACCAGACGGCAACATCACAGTCCCACATGCTATCCCAAGAAGCACGCGTTAGCAGACGGCAAGGGAGGCACATACACAGTGACACAGGCAACTGGGGTGACATATCACCACATACGAGGTCACACGGGGAAGGAGACATTAGCTGGACCGACTGACAGAACCACAGGGCACGACACAAGACGAGGATGATACCACAGACAGCACAGACACCAAACTGTGTGTGTGGGTTAAACTTACAGGCACGGAAATTGGTGGAGCAATCATTAACAGAGACAGAAGAGAGTGGGAAGGCTCGCTCACGGGTGTCCACGTCACCACGCACACGGCCTGACATGCATGAGCAGTCACGCTCAGAACGTCCGCAATCAAAACAACATGCCCGTCTCATTCTCTTGTAGATGGACATCTTGGCTATAACCGCATGGTGGATGAGAGGAGAGGAAGAGCGGTAGTTAATGGCAAGGTCACACAGCAGGGCGGCTGGAAGGGAGCTGAAGGGATTGAACACAGGTCTTAGTTCACATTAACAGTCTTGACCCAGAAAAAAAATGCACAGTGACTGTTGGCAACAGTTTGGTTGTACAACAAAAAGAAAGCAGCAAGAATATAAATTGCCTTCATAATCCCCCAAGGCTGTTGTGTATGATTTTTCTCCCCTCGGTGAAGCGGGTGACTGCAGGAAAAGGGCAGGGGTGATTACAATCGGCGTCTTGGATGAGAGGAAGAGCACATTATAGACAGCAAAGATGTAACCGACATTTTTCCCCCAGCACAATTAATACAGGAGGACAAAATATACACACGGCCAATCAATGAACTGCTGACAGGGTACAATAAATGGCTTTTTGCAAGATGCAAAACCAGCTAATATGTAGGCTTTCTAATTCCCATCCATTCCTGGGCGCTAGGCAGAGCCTGGGACAGGCTGTCATCAAATTAGATGTGAAACGATTACGTGTTAATATAGGATTCGAGGACACCTCTGCCGAACTTCCCCGGAGTGGGTTGACGTGATGCCTACAGGAATTTAAGTTTACTCTTGACAGAACAAATATCCAAATCTGTCCACATAAGAAATGCAGCTACTCGGGGCTAGCACTGCGTGGTTGACATGAAAGGCAGTTCAAAAATAAAACATCACCCAGAGCACAGGAGAGGCTGGTCTATTGGAATGTGTTCAGCTCCTCACGGGTGTGTTTTCCTCTCAAAGCTGGGGGATCTGAAAATCCTATCGCCTTTTCTCTCCTTGCCCTCCCTGAATTCAGAAAGCCATTGGGCTTTGATTAATCGTAATTTTTTCTTATACAAAAAATAGTGGCCAAAATAGATGAAAAATTATGAAACAAGAAATAAAATAAAAGAGCTCCTACGTAAGAGATTAAGGCTCGTCCAGCACCCAAAGTGCTTCCAAAGCTAGTATTGTTGGTTCCACTGCGTGGGGACCCAACTCAAACGCTAGCCTACAAAGTGCTGGACCTCACTGCAGTGGCTCTCAATGTCCTTCACCTTTACCCTCCACGCCATTGTACAGGTAAGTACAATGAGAAGCGTCTGTACCTCCGTCTGAAGCTACAACAGACAAAAGCATTTGCTCACCATGGAGCCTGAACTGGCCTGCTTCCCTCCCTGGTCCGGGGGAGAAGAATTCATATTTATCTCAAGCATCACAGCCAAAGAGTAACCGGGACTGAAGGGAGGCGTTATTCCTTGTGTCCATTTGGAAAGCCGTATCCCCCCTTTCTTTTTCTTTGTGGGGAATGGTTGCACCCTTACTTTAAAATATGGCCTGTGGTTTTGCCCTCTTTGAATGTTAACAGTCACCAGGAAGAGGGGTTTAAATCTCTCAAATGGGTCAAGTCCTGTTCTAAGACCTTTATGACTTGCCATCCAGTATATTTGTCAAGCAGGGGTAACGTTATGATTGTGAGGAACAGGCACTGGGGGAGATGAATGAGAAATCTCTTCAGCAGCAACTCCATTCTCAAGGACGCGGCTCACGTTTAAGTGACGCGTGCTTTTAGCATCCTGGCTAGTCAGTTGCTCAGACCATCCTCATGCAGCCCCAGCCCTGTTCAGTGTGTGGTCGACATCATTCCTGGGCTTGGTTTCTATGGGAGAAGGGGGGAGGCCCGAAAGGTGGGGTTCTACTATAGCATTTGAATCAGAATGGTGTGACTGCCCAGGCACCCCCAAGCAGCAGTTACTGAAGTCAAGAGAGGGGGGAAAAGTCTTCAGCGGAAGACAGGAAAATAAAGTTATTTTAAATGCATCCAGATCTGGTATACAACTTGGAGTCCCTTCACTTGTTTTTTTGTTTTTTGTTTTTTTTCTTGTTTTTTTTCTTTCTTTCCTTGTTCTCTTACTGGAAATATTGATTTGTTATTTACACAGAAGAGGGAAACTAAGATGATTTTTTGTTTCACTGTAGATAAATTGTTTTGAAAAAATTTTTTTAATCAAATGCTGTAGCAGAAGAGAAGCCCATCAAACTCTGAAATGCTATGCTTCTCATTAGCAACAGTCCCTGGTTTTCATTTTCATCCTGCCATTTTGGGTTCATATTCAATAATAGAATCTGACACATTTATAGGGAAGGAAAGTTCTTATATATATATACCATCTTGAAGGACAAGAGGAGGGAGGCTGGGGGTGGGATGTTTTGAAACGGTTTTGTCAGAGGTATGCCCGTCATGATGGGTGATTTTAACCTCCTACTTGATAAGGGTTCAGGAGGAGACAGCTTAAACCAGCGCCTCTCAGGGACTGTTTGCAACTGTCCTGCTGGCTCCTCTGGAGACCATGCATTGTTCTAAAATCTCATATTGTTAGCATGCAGGAACAGGCTGAAACTGGTCATCAAAGCAGCAGAAAACCATTTGCTATAAGAAGATTAAATGTTAATTATAAGCAGTCACATTCCAAAGCAGCATATGCATAAAAAGGAAAACATGCTATTACTCGCCATTGCTTCCAGTCATCGCTTTCACACTCACTCCAAATACAAAATAGAAATCTCAGGAGACAAACACGCACCACAAATACACACACACACACACACACACACACAAAAAAAAAAAATCGGCAAGAATGATCAATGAGAGGCTCAAAGACAAGACAGAAACAGTTAAAAAAGATAGAGCCCTGACAATGTCTACACCCAGGGGCCCCGCCTGCAAGGGTGGCCCTTTTGTTCTGCTCTGCATGGACCCCAGTCAGGTGTCTTCACCTATGCACTTCCAGGTCCACTTTCTTAAAAGGGTGTCCCAGCAGCAGAGCCTTCCTCTGGAAACTGCTAGGCTCTTAAACAAGCTTTTGAAGTAAAAAAAGTATGAGTGTATGGCTCCCTGGTGGTAGCTGTTCCAGGAGATGTGGACACTCTGGGTATAAAGTTAGACTCGTGGGTTGTAAAATAAAATTACATCAAAATTAAGTCATGGATCTCCTATTTTGGAAAATACTACCCCTCGTCTCCATAAACTCTCTCTCTCTCTCAGGCTTCCTAATCCTTTGGTTTTGTTTTAAAGAATAGTGGATTTTCAGAATCACTGGTGTTTTATTTCCATTTCTCTGGGACTGTTTCCTTTTCTAGAGCTGATGTAGGTTATAAGGTTACTTTCAGATAACAGTGCCATTTAAAATCCCCAAGGTTAGGTTTCAAAGAGCAATTTTGAAAGTTTCAGTATTTATTTAAAACACAAGTAAATTTCATATCTACTCCCTGACCACAAAAAGTGCCCTCTCTCCTTTGGTGTTTGCTCATTTTCTTTATTATGTAGTCACCCAATGCTCTTTCCTAAATCCCAGTCCTCAGAAGAGGGAGTTTTCCCCAGGATTTCAATGGTAATACAAAATAGAGCTCTGAGGACATCTAGTGGACATGTGTAGAAGGGCAGCCAGTTAACATTCTCCTGTAACTAACTCCCTGGCCCTTCTCTGCAAGGGAGCAGAAAGAGGACCCTGCAGGCCTCTGAGAATTGAAATGTGAGCAGTAGCGTTTTAATTCAGCAGCTTCTCAGGAGAGATGTTGAAGAGGCAGCAGGGTCAAAGGGCTGAGAGGAGGTAGATGTTCCTAGAGTGGTCAAGAGTGGCACACTGCTCCTGTAGACCCCCACTGGCTGTGTCTCCTCCAAGCCCCAGGCAGCTTCCAGAGACAGGGAACAGACAAGAGCGCATCTGGTGGGTGAATAACACTGCAGCTTCTTGCCATTCCATCTTAGGGCTCTGGGAACTTTATGCTCAATGAGCCGCCCCCGTAGGCCAGCTGAGCTGTGGGAGAGCAGAAATATCAGCCCCTGGGGACCTGCTTTTCTCCTTGGCCCACATCAGAAGGTTCTTGTTCTTGGGCTGGTGCCACCGGTTCAGAGAGGTTATGTGGTTGCCAAGAAACAGACCCTGGGTCTCACCTCCCTCCTAAGAACCCTGTCCTCATCGGTTTGTGGTTGGAGAGGAAGAGGCTTTTGTGTGCTTTCCTCCACCACAAGGAAGTGAATAGTCTCCCAATATTTCCATTATGACTTCCTCATGCTATTTATAGAGACATCATGTAAGTATGTCCCTAAGGGCCACCATTAAAGGTTTACTCCTTCCTCGGGTGTAAAACTGGAAGATTTCTCATACTCTTGGACCACTTTTCCTGTATCCTCAAAGGTCGTGACTGTGAGGAAGAAGCCTGTGGAGACGGGGCTGCTGTAGATGAGCTTTAGTTACTGCTCTTTCCCTGCATCAGACTGACAATGAGCTGTCAATCCCGGGTCTCTGCTCTTCCAGCCAGACCTGGCATGGAAGAAGGACGTGGAGGCCATCCTGTTCTCAGTACCATCTGCCTCCTGCATCCGCAACCAAATTGTCAGCCAATTTCCAATTGCACATCCTTAATTTCCAGGGTGGGCTGGAATGGGTAGGAGAAGCAGTGCGGGGCTGAGAGGCTCAGATGGAGTTTTCCAACTCCTGGGTGTGGGGGGTGGGCACTTTAGATTTTAAATGGAGCAATTCAGGGGAGACTGTGGCAGGAAAAAAAAAATCTGCCATTCAATTCATAGACACTTGTCAGATCACAACCTCATGTTTAAAATCAACCCAGTGTGGGAAGGATTGCTTCCCTGGAGCTGCTCCTCACATGCTCGTAGCAACTAAAATTATAGGGAAAACATCCAGCGGAGAAAATGTTCACCGAGGTGTAAGGCAGAGGCGTTTGCTGGATGTGACACTGGGAATCAAAGGGCATTCTTTCAAGTCCTATAACTGAGCAAAATTCCTATTAGCTTCTAGAAGGAGAATAAAGGTCTTGCAGGTGGTTTTTTTCCCCAAAATGAAAGAGAGGGAAGGAAAAACTAGTTAATGTCGTCAGCAGCTCAGAGCCCTCCGAGCTGGTCCATCCTGCTGCCCTCTCAGCACCATATTGTGATGGGAGAAGGCAGAGGGATTTGGCACTAGAATTGTTTGTCGATTGACTGACATCAAGACTCCCCTTGGATTTTGAAGGATCACTGTCAGCAGCTCTGTGGGTATAAAAATGACCCTCAAGCCACCCTTGGGGGTGTTGTGCAGGTAAAGGGAGCCCGCAGTGTCCCTTCTGGCAGAATTGGGCATGGGACTGAGGAAGGTCACTGCTCTCTTTTGTTTGTACCCTGAGCATCCTACCCCTGCAGACTCTGAAGACAAGCCAGAACCAGACGGCCAACCTGCCTCTTGCCGCAAAGGAGTCAGAGAGGACCAAGTGCTGAGCCGCCTTCTGCACATCCCAGGGCCGCTGGCCTGAACGGAGCTGCAGGCTGCTCCTCCTCTCCAGTGGTCTCAGGTACACGAGGGAAGCCCCACGCTCATTTCTGGTGCTGCCTGGAGCAGCACTGCTCTAAGCCACGGCCCTGAAAGGCGCAGCCTCTGGGTGAGAGGGCCCTACTCCTTCAGTGAGTCAGGGTGCTCGGGGCCTCACATCCATGTGCTCAGGCTTCTGCATAGCTCGTGGCTGAAATGGAACATTCTCCTGGAGCCACCTTTTCTGCCTTCAACAAGTAGATGTTTGCTAAACCAGGAAACATCTCTCAAGATACCCGACTAACACCGCAGAGGAACTGGGGTTGTCCTAGTGGGTTCTGATTGAAGGAGGAACCTGAGTTTAAAGCAAGGGAACTTCATAGATTGTCGGAAGTAATTACCACTGCGGGAGTACTTGTCTCCATTAAGGCCGTTGAGATACTTACAGTCGCAAAGCTGGGGTGTCCAATGAGCTCTCTAGCCCGCACTTTCTCATACAGAGAGGCACATATGTCGTAATAAATACGTCACTCTCTCTATAAAGCAGCTCCACACTTATATATAAAAATGTACATTTTTACATATAAAGCACTGTGGTACATATAATATACCACTTGTATATTATATGTGATGGATATGTATATCACAACACAGGGATAAGTATATATGTAGTATGTGTGTTTGCTTCAGGATAGGAATTCGAGCTCGAGAGTCGAGGAGACCAAGTGTAATTTATCAAAGGCAAGTGTGACAATGATCCCCAATCGATGAGGGGTCTGGAGCTACAGTGGTAATTACCTCAGCCTACTCAGTGTCCCCTCAAGGTCCTGAGACAGGCCCTCATGAGAAACACTGTTGTCAAGGTCTTATTTTCAAACAGAAAAATAAGACAGTGCCAGAGGCCAGCTAGAAGCTGGGGGTAGGGGGAGCGGTCAGAGAGGGTCCCGCTCTCAGGTTCTCCAGCTCCAGGCTGCTCGTCAGGCTGTTGGGCGGGGGAGTTGGGGCATGGGTCACTGCTACATGCAACATAAATACCACAAGGAAAAAAGAGACCGAAACTGTACAGAAAATAAAAAGAGTCTCTTCTAGAGAAAGACAGGGGGACTGGACTCCGGGCTGCTGGGAACCCGTGTTACTCACAATATATCACTACCAGTGTGCGGTTAAAATAGAGTAGGGGCCGTATTCCAAGGCAGCAAAGAGAAAAATAAATCAAAAATATGTCAATGATTAGAAGTTCAAGAAAAATTCCTTCAAACACATCGATTTAGACATGACTTGTCCCCGAGGAGTCTACCCTTTGGCCAACTTTTAGAAGCTGGGGGAGAAAATGTCAATCATTAGACCAGGTTCATTACACAGAAAAGGGAAATGGGTGAATGGATTCTGAGAGCTTGCTCCTTGGCCAGACACCGAATGTGGCCCTCTTCCTTGATGGAGAAGCTATGAAGAAATGGAAAGAAACGCAAGAGTTAAACTGTTCTCCCACAGAATTGCCAGGCATGGAATGGCCACACTTGGTATTTCTCCAGAGAGTATGACATGAAACGTTCAACGTTATTGAACAAAAGTGAACGGGGGGATGGAGGTGGGAAGGACGGGGGAGGGCGGGGTTGGGAGAAGAGGGGTGGGAAGCTGTGAATGAGGACCAGTGACTGTCACCAGCTCTGCCCTGGTGGAGATGTATCGCCCCAGGATGGATTATTCACTCCTGGCCTAACAGAGTTGGACAAGTGACTCTGTGGGTCGGCTGCCCTCCCCAATTTAGGGCATTCGGCAGCATGCATTCAATTCATTACTGACAAGTCCAGCTCCTTCTTAGGCAAGTTGCTTTGCAACCAAAACCTGGATCCCCCCATTTCCTAACCTGCCTGATATGCCTCAGGTTTAATACCTCACTTATCCTAACCACCACTTGCACCTACACACCTGCATCCTACCCTCTGATTGTGGCCTTTTAATTCGGAATAACAATGTTTGGGAAATTCTGATTGTTGTCAAACTTGAACCTCACAGCTGAGGGCTGCCGTGAGATGAAGCCCAGGTGGAGAGGAGGGTGCAGAACGAAGGGAGTGAGACCCTGGCCGCACTGGCTTGGCGCTGGACAGGCAGTCCTTTCCATGGCAATCTGTGCTGTGCATGATGGGAACTCATCTGCCCCTCTCGCTGAGCCAAGGTGGACAGAAATGAAAAGAATAAAATTATTTCAAACAGTTACGTGCCTCTCTGTCCAGGATGATGTTAAAGGCCGCTGCTGTTTACTTGCCTAGAACCAAGATGGGAAAATGTCCTAGAGGCCAAATTCTCTTTTCTAGGGACTTAAAATTCATCTTCTGGGTCCCACTACAGTCCCTCAGAGGAAGCACTCAGCGGGAGTCCGAAAGCTTTCTCTCCTCCCTCTGTTCCACTCCTGCCCCCGACTCTGCTCTCTGTCCAGTCACCAGGGAGAGCAACAGGAATGGATGATGTCATTTCCCTGCTTAAAAATGGCTATATTTATTGTAGGACTAAAGCCCACTCTTCTTTCCATGGCACCTGCCCTCCTCTCTGATCTCAGCTCGCACCCCTCTCTCCAATCCCACCAGCTCCCCTGCCAGTCTTCCTTCCCTCAAACACAGCAGACTGACTTCTACTCCTGGCCTTTGCCCCCCTCTTCTGCCTTTCTGGATTGGGCCTTAAGTCAGGGCCACCTCTCAAGGGAGGCCTTCCAGATCTTTCTAGCTAAAGCAGCATCTTTGCAGGGTTCCTCCCACCCTCAGGCTGCCTCCAATCTCTTTAAAGCCCTTGTTTCTACCTGAATGGATTTCATTGTTTCTATGATCACTGTTCTATGATCAGTCACTAGTGTGAAGGATTGGGGGCTCTTGTTCTGAGATTTCCATAAATATCCCTCTTGGTGGGTATCAGCGTTGAGAGGAGGGGGCCCTGTGTGTTAAGTCAATAAGAAGGAGGAACAAACCGTGGGTCCAGCTGGCCCGGACTCGGGAAGCAGCTGGGCAGATTTCTAGACACCCGCTCCATACTGAGCGCCCTGAATGGGGATCTGCCAGAGGAGGCTGCGTCTCTCTGAGCCCTCGGCATTCACTGTGCCCCTCCCCTAGGGGTGCCGTAATAAACCCTGTGCCGCCAGTCAGCATGTCCCTGGAATGGGGTTCTGGGCTTGGTTCCAGCTCTGAAAAAGCACTTTATGGGATGATCCTTTATAACTGCACTCCTACTCATCAGACCCAGGATTACCCCCTTCGCCCTATCTTCTGACACAGCCCCAAGAGAGGCCTCGGGCAGGCCCAAAACTAACTCCTGGGTCTGTGACTCTCAGCCACTTCATCCAGGCAGTGACCTCAAAGCCTTAATTTCTTATTTTTGTGAAACAGGATTAATAACACCCCCTGCCAAGTATGCAGGGTTATGGTGAGGAGCAAAGCAAATAGTGATCCTAAGGCGCTTTGAAAAGACTAAACATAGGAAGGCAGGCATCATCACCATTTCCTCTAGGGTCCTGAGAGATCTTGATTAGGCCAGGCACCGTGATCACCGCCAACAGCAAGGCCTTCTCCAGGCAAAGCCTGCTCCAGGCCCACTGTCACGACCCACATCCCTGATGTTCTCTCAAGAGGCCCCACTGGCAGGCAGAAGAGGTTTGAGGAAGGCCATGCCAGAAGCCACCGAGCCCAGCCTCATGAACCCCGAAGGGCACTGGTGTCTGATATTGATCCTTGGGACAATGAGAAAACCCACCGGCCATGGCCAAGTTCTTTCCTTGGGCCAATCTGAAGATCCTGCAGTTGGAAGCGCTGGCCTTTGACACTGAAACCTGCAGCCATCCCATGGGAAGAGTCAGCCCCATTCGGGAGACTGAGTCCTCATCCTGGGTCTCCTCTCTGCCCTAGTCCAGCCGTCTGTACCCTGGGCATTCCCAGACCCACTGGCAATCATGGAGCAGAAACACCCTCCTCTACAGCCTCCTCTCTGCACACCGTACTCACTGTGTTTGCCTGGATGCCCCCCGAGGCATCCCGTTAGGCTCAGAGTGGGACAGAGCACGCACTAGGTCTACACTTAGGTGTTGGCAGTGGTGATTTTTCAACCTCTGCTCTAGTAAATCGAGGACAGGTATTTATTTCATGTCTCTTTAAACTGCTGGGTGAAACATAAACATATTCAAGAAGGCTCTTGATGTTTAGTGTTTCTTTAGTTGGAAGAGGAGGAGGGACATGAATTCGGGAAGAGGAAGGAGCCAGGGAGGGATGGGGGAAAGAAACGCTACTTACGCCGTTTGCAGCCGCATTTTTTTATCCTTTTGGGATCTGTGATGTCATCGTGACAGGCCTTGCAGTAAAAAAATGCCCTGGAAAGAGAGAATGGAAAAACTGACATGTTTCATAATCCGCCCCAGTGGAACGAGCACCACATTTCCCCCGCCGCGGTGCCAAATGAATGAAGCACGCCGGCCCTCGCCGCCTTTCATCTCGTGAAAGGTTTGGACGTGTACAGACGGAAATGTTTGTTGCAAGACCATTTATTTCAAACACAGGTCTCCGTGATTTGAGTGAGTGCTTCTTTTAATAAACTTTCATTGGAAAAGGAACTGGGGGAAAGGTTGCGGATGTGACCGCGTGTCTGCTCGCCCGTCTTTCATTTGGAGCCGCAGCCTTCAGGGCTGCTCCTCGGAACCCGGGGCAAGCGGTCCTGGGCCTCGGTGGGGAAGGGAGATCCACTCGGAGATCCTCCGTCTGGTTCACTGTATATTAAAGGGCCACAAGGATGGCGTTCCTCGGTCAAATACAAATATCCGCCCTGTCACTCTGAGAGTGTCCTTTCACTTCAGGAGATTAGAAAGGAGAAATCTAAAGTGATAGGTCAAGGGGCTCCTGTCAATTTCCTTCTGGGGTCGCATCACCCATATTTACTGCAAAGTTGGCTGGACCAAGTCGCGTAGTCTCCAGCCTCGAGATCGTGTAATAACGGAAGGTTTTCTTCTCACGGAGGGGCCCAGCTCAGCTGCCCACTGGAATGGGCTGGGCAGAGGGTATTATAGGGTTGGGGTAGTAGAAGGAGGCCCAGAGACAGCAATCCATCAATGGGATTATCTCCTCGTCTGATTTAAGTGTCAACATGTGATGATAAAGTGCACTGGCCATGTCCACGGTTAACTTGGATGAGGCAGAATAAAGCTGAGCACTATTTAAACTGCTCAGGGCCTAGAAAGACAGCCCTGGCCAGAGGTCTGTGTCCTCTCACTGCTGGGTGGCGCTAGAATTCACTGGAACAACTTCACAACCTTCTGAGTCCAGGGACTAACAAAACCCCTGACCTAGCACCTTCCCCACTCGCACCACGAAGGTGAATGCCAGGGAAAAACATGGCAGCTCCTTGACCAGTGCTATAAAGAAAGAAACACAGCTCTTGACTACTTTATTCCCAGGCTCCTTCTCATGTTTTTCCCAGGACTGGCATATTTGGAAGCCACTGCTAAGACGTTTGATCTGGAAGAGATGTGAGATCTTGCAGCCCAAACCCCTGGGTCTCAATATCCTCATTGGGAAATGGAGGAGGTGTCCTAGCTGCCTACAGCCATCCTGTACTGGAACATGGCCAGCCCAAGCCTTCGAGAGTTAAGCCCCGTGCTCCTTCCACCCTAATAGCTCACCCACTCTTCCTTAAATGCCAGGTTTCATCTATTTTACAAAAAAAATTAAAAAGAAGCTGATTGTTTGCCCTCAGTGGAAATGTAGCTAAAACCCAACCGAAGGAGGTGTGATTGTTATCTCTGTTTTGCAGACAAGAAAAATGAAAATCAGAGAAGTTAAGCCACCTGCCCAAGGTCACACAGCTGAGTGGCAGAACCAGGATTCAAATCCACACAGTCCATTCCCAGAGTCCAAGGTCTTAAACACATCTCTACTAAAGAGATGATGAAGTGATGACAAGCCTGAATAGACCTTTGAAAAGATAAAGCACAACTAGTTCATAAATCAAAGCTAGGTTTTGAAAGCAAAATCCCCACAGGGACCAGGCAAATAAAGTTAGTGAGTAAAATGGGACGAGGGTGTGGGTCTGTGGTGACCTAGACACATATCCCCCAACTGGAGAGAGCAAGATAGGTAAAGTCCAGATGATTTTTGCTATGTGGCACTTCCTTGCAAGCACTCTTGTTTCTGATCCACCTCGGCCTCTCTCATGCTCACCTGGCACAGACCCTACCTTACTGCACGCCTGCATTGAGCAGCTGAATGTTGCTGGGGAAATAACCGTTGTTGACTGATCTCACTTTAAATCCATGGGTGTGTATTCCAGGAGCCTTTGTACACTTCTCAGGGTCTATGCCCTATCTCCTCCTCCCACCTCAACCCTCTCTGCTCTCCTTTCCACATCCTTTCCCACTCATCTAATCCTTCCTCAAGTAGCCTTAGCTGGGGGCCTTGCCACTGACATCACCAAGACCAGATCTGCATCCTGCAAGGCTGGTGTTTAGGGCCCCCTTGTCCTCTGGTTTCTCATTGTGATTGTCTAATGGGGGAGCCATTAGGAGGCTGAAGGGGGAGAAGAGTCATTCCCCTGGCTACCAGCTTATAAAATAGTAGTAACACCATCTCCCTACAGAAGAACACAGCTCCTGTGAGGCAGCCTTTCCTACAGCACACCCTCTGTCTCGTTCTAACAGCCCTCCTTCCCCTTGACTAGGCCTGGAAGTGGCTCTAACTCTGAGTACTTTGGGTACTAACTCTGGGTACTTTGCCATCCTTTGTGGGTTTCCCTTAACTCTGCCCACAACTTTATACATTCCCCTTTTTCCTTTTAAGTGCGTCCATCTGTTTCTTGCTAGACCCTCACTGATACAGCATCCAAATTTACATCTCCGGTCCTCCTCTTTACCCAGAACTTCAGAATCTTAGATGCAACTGACTTTGTGACATCTCCATATACTCTACTTAACACAGCCCAGTTAGAATTCTTCAATTCCTTCTACCCGCAACGTGTTCCTCCTCCCATTTCCCCATCATCCACCCAATTGTGGAAAGCTGGAGTCTAGGCTCCATTCTTTATCCTTGTTTCCTCACTTCTATGTCCAGTTTATCAATGAGTCCTCGGAACTCTCCAAAATGTATCCTGAACTGCTCTTACTTCTCACCACCTCCACTCACCCATCTAGCTCAGGCCATTACCTCTCACCTAATCTACCAGCAGTCTTGGAGTCTCCTGGCCTCCCCTCCTGCTCCACTGCATCTGACTCTCTCAGAGCACGGGCAAAGCTTTTTAGTGATATAAATCAGGCTATGTCACCTCCAGCAAAAACCTCCCATGACTCCATTTGATAATACACTCAACCTCTGAATATAGTCCTTTGGGGACTAGCCCTACCGTTCTAACTTCACCTCAACACTCTACTCTTCCAGACACCCTTTTTCCTTCAGTTCCCTGAACACAACAAACATTTCTATCGTGTCTCCTCCTCCCTTCAGATCTCTGCATGATGGATTCTTCCCCATTACCCCAATCTCTGCTCTATCATCACTCACTCCCAGCCACCTTCACTTACACTCCATCTAAATCAGGGACCAGCTGCATGAATGCTTTGCACCAAGAATAAACACAGCTGTACTTCTCCCTTCCTGGAAGGGAGCCCATGAGAGAGGGACTTCTTTCCACCATTTCCCTGGCACCTAGTACAGTGTACCGGGAAGTGAGTGCCCTATTGACGTTTGATAGATGAATGAATGCTGCTCAGTAATGCTGGATCTGCATGCTTTTCAGAAGACTCCAATAATAGGGATTTTTATATAAGATTAGGACTTCTTCAGCTTGGAAACTATTTTTTTTTATAAACCAAACTGAGCCAATGAGGCACCATTCTGCGACTCCCACATTAAATACTATGAGGAGGTTACTTCAAAAGCAAAATGCTTAGTGGCCAGGAGTGAAGGACAAGGGCCCACATGCTTCTCCCAGAGTGACCGCATTAAAACTGGAATCAGATGGTTTCATCCTCTTTTTTTCCCCCTAAAATACTACATCCAGGGCATAGCCGGTTTGGCTCAGTGGATAGAGAGTCAGCCTGTGGACACAAGGGTCCCAGGTTCGATTCCAGCTAAGGGCATGTACCTTGGTTGCGGGCACATCCCCAGTGGGGAGTGTGCAGGAGGCAGCTGATCAATGTTTCTCTCTCATCAATGTTTCTAACTCTCTATCCCTCTCTCTTCCTCTCTGTAAAAAATCAATAAAATATATCTAAAAAAAATACATCAAAAATTTAAACCAGAATCCATTTAACTTCTTCTGTTGCTTTTTTGGAGCAGAGGGTGCAAACTCAATACGAGAGCATGATAATCTACTTTTCCATCTGCACAAAACTTGTTTAGTTTCATTCAGATCTCCAAAGCCCTTCTGTGGCTTCTGCAGTCTTCATCTATTTGCAGACCCCTAACTGACAGCTTCTGCTCTGACACATCGCACAGCCTGGGAATTACAGGCCGGCGCAGCTGATTGTGTCAGCATGTATTTGTGAAGGCCATAAAGCACTGAAATGAGACACACTGCGCTCCCCAATAGAGGAGGTGATTTGTTGTTTGGACGGCCTGGTATTTGTGACATTCATTAGTGAGAGATGCAACAGGAAATAGAATTACACAAATGGGAGCCTCATGTTCCCCTTGCTGTGCTCCTTAGCCCCCTGCCCTGAGATGCCGCTTCCACTGTTGTGCCTCAGTCTGGCAGTGAGCACAACCTTCTCTTGCAGAATAGGAAAAGGGTGTTCAGTCCCATCTCCCTGCCCAAGGTTCGTCTCTGGTGGACCCAGTTCTTGGGGTGCTCCTAAGACAGTGGGGACCCTAAATTGCATAAAAAGGTTTTCCTCCTCTGCGCCTGCGTAATAGAAATTTTGCAGAAGTAAATTTAAGCCATTAGATAGCTCGGTTTAAATTGTTGTTGTTGCTTTTCCACCGCATTTTCCGCGCTGAAAGCTGTTATGACTGGTGGCTAGTTTGCAGAGTGCATGATGAGTAAGCACCAGCTGTCAAACATCATAGTTCTGTGCTCAGCGTGTCAGGCTCAGTCTTGGCAAATAATTAAGAACGTAAGGCTTCCTGGTTTTAAGTCCTGGCTTTAAACGAGCAGTGTGGCTTGGGCAACTTAGTTAACCAACCTGTGCCTCAGTTTCCTCATATGTAAAATAGGAATAGTAATGTTGCCTCATAAGGTTGTTGAAAGGAGGAAATAAAGAGTTCATCAATGCCTGGTACCTGGTATTCAGAACAGACTGACACATATTAAACTCAAAAAGTCTAGTAAAGGCATACGTTCCCCAGTCACCGAGAGTCAGCAAATATACACAGCTGCGAGTTGGGGCATGGCTTAGCGCACATAGGAACATGGGCTAAAGTGTTAAAACTGCTGCAGAAAGTCAGACCATGGGACAACAGAACCAATTATCTTTCGTGAAGTGGTGTGATCATGTGCTAATCATTCGCTGAACATTATTTAGGAACTGAAACTCTTGGATTTAAATAAGTAGACTATAGTTGTCAATATGTAATATTTATTTATGTCAACAAAATTACTACAGTGTTTTTTTCCAATATATGGCTTATTCGCTAAAATCTGTTTTAAAATTATAATGAATTAACAAAAATATAATCTGTTAATTAAATTATAACTTACTCTAGACTAAAAGCATTTTAAAATTAGCAGTGTGTTAACTTTCACATATGACACACGGAGGGGGAAATTTTGTTCATTAAATCCAAAGTCCATTAAATCGAGATCCGAAAAATCAAGGGCTTACTCTACTTAAATGTCATAAACCATTGAGGCCAACGAAATCCTGACTATCCTTGATAACTTCAGCCACTTACCTAGAAGGCCACAAATAGAAATATGGCCAGTTCAGTATTTCATCTGAAATTAATCCAAACCTTTAGAGATTCCATTTGGCACTTAAAGTAAAAAACAAACAAACAAACAAAAAAAACACTGATAATTCTCCAGTAAAGAGCACTGGACGAGGAGCCAGTTGTCCTATGCTATGTGGTTCTGGGTCATCAAGCATCGGGGGCCTGCAACAATCAATTGGGCTCTCTGGAACTCTGGCTCCTTTTTTAGGAAATGAGGAGGAGCTAATCAGTCTCTCCTAGCTCTGGAATGTCATTCAAAGTCAAAGATGTGGAACTGGTTATGTGAAGAGGAGCCCATGGAAACATTTGAAAGCACAATCCCTTCTTCCTAAGATTTGTTAGGAAGATGCCCAAAGGCCTGTTAGGACATTCTGGGGTTCAGGCCCTGTGCTTACGGAAGCCCGGTCACCTCAGGGGGTCAAGATGTCTATGCTGGAATGAAAAGGAAGGCAGGAGAAAACAAACTCTTACCTTTTAACTTCTTTGGCATCACTTGCGATGAAAAATCCTAAAGTACCTTCTTGGATCTTAAGATGGTTTCCAGGATTAATTAATATACTGCTCAGTGAACAAAAACAAACAAAGAAGACACATTTGTCAGGTCACGTTCTGTGCAAAATCTGGAATGCTACACGGTATTGTTAATTGTATAGGGGGCCCACTAGTCTAATGCTGTCCCCTAAGATTTTGTCTAGAGCTTAAGGTTCACTGTCCCACACACTTAACTGGATAACGTCATCATAAGTTTGGCAGTTCAACTCCTAGGTTGGCATACTCCCAGTTGCAGAAATCAAAGCAAATCTAGGTTTCAGGGCCAGGTTTTTATAATGGGGTTGCCATTATATCGTGGGCTTCTGGTTTGAAGCAAAATTCCCAACAATGTACCCCTTAGAAAATGCTGTTGATGGTCAACACTGAGTGTTATAAATTTATTGCTACACCGATTTTTAGTTAGATGACAGAGCATTAATGGGACCCCTATATGCATACAGAAACAAACATGTATACACACCACATACCACTGCAGGGAATGGTACAAGACACCCATACCAATGCAGAAGCAAGAACATCTGCATGACATGATAAGGACATGGAAGTGGATTCCATGCGCAGTCTGTGTGGAAAAAACTGGGTCCACGAGAACAGTGGGGGGGAGGGGGAACAAAATGCAAGCAATCAGAAATACTTAATGATTCTAACCTGCCCTTTACAAAAGGTAAGAGAGTCTTTGAATAAGGTGCATGTCTAGCACGTACTGATTGGGGCAAACTGTAATTAGAAAACAAATGCAAATTACCACAAAAAAGACTTCCCCTTTAAGGAAGTATGAACCTACATATACACTGTCCTATTTCAAGGTGGTATAAATACGATAGATGAGCTGACCAAGTTGTGTTAGGACTGACAGAAGAGATAAATGTATCCTAATCTAAGAAATGGGTGAAACAAACAAATTTAATTTTCTGCAGATCAAAAGCAGAATCCAGGAATGCCATACACAGAGACTGAGATGAGACTCTGGGCTCAATAGATATGGAATTTAGGGACTCTAAATTCAGCAACAGATACAACGGAGGGAGTCTGATCTGAAAATCAGGTGTTTCATGGAATAGATGTTTGGAATCAGGCTAAAGGAAGTTCTAAACTGCCTAAAACAATCAAAATGGAGGATGGCAATTAACATGTAATCCTTTTCTGCTGGTAAAATCATTGCAGAAAAGTGCTGTGACCAACAGGGCGGTATGCCTGTAGCAATACAGGAAGGACCCAGGTGAACTTTTGTTCTGTTGGGAGAACAGAGTAGATTGTTATTGCAAAATAATGATTTGCGGTCCCAAGAACACCCCCTATTATCCATAACAAGGCCTGACAGAAGGAAACCAATCCCGTGTCACTGCTCTTATTAACACTAAATAATAGCAAGAGTCCAGGAAGACCTGACTGTCCTTCCTCGGAACCTCAGACAACAGTGAGGCAGCAGCAGGCCACCCAGGGCAGCGCTGGGGAGGTCCCTTGCACCAACTCTTCACGTTTGTCGCCCACCCTCTGACTTTTCATGATCATGAGGAGAGAGGGACCCAATTAATACAGGCTAGCCAGATTCCCCAATAAATGCAACGTTTTAGACGGACAGCATTCCTGACTTGGCATACTTTCTTACCCCATTCCTGCAAGGCAGTTCTAGGGCCTGGCCCTGCAACCAGAAATTGGGTCCGAACTCCAGCATGGCCTGTCAGTAGCTATCTGGCCTTGGGCAAGTGACAGCACAACTCTAGGACTCAATTTCCTCACCCACAAGATGGTGAGGATGATCATCATAGTCTTCAGTGACATAATGCACCGAAGGCTCTATGTCTACTGGTTATTGTTCCTTTTATTATTTATTATTGAGGGGGAGGGGGGAATCCAAAAGGATATTCCATTCTCAATGGGATCATCAGCTTTTCCCCAGTTGGAACACATCCTGCCCATGATTTGGTGAAGTTACAGGGTGAAGAGCTAACTGTGCACTTTAGAAAAATGGACAAGGACATAATGAAAAACTCCAGGTACTTCTGGACTCTAAAGGAGCAACTTCCTCAAAATTGGAAAGTTCTACCAATAGACAACTATTCATTTAAGAGTATTAAAAAGCTTCCCTGGTGAAAAACATATCCTATCATGATTTCAGCAACATAATTCAAAAGAGGAAATTTGACAGGCATCAATGTCATGGTGACATATATGCACCACAGAGCCTCACAGAGAACCTGCTCCCCCCTTTTTTTTTTACATCGGATGCTTCAGAAATTGCACTTCGATGGTCAACCCCACTATGCCATGGAGGTGTTTGCAAGGTTCCTGCCAATGAAAAGTCCCTTTCCAATGCCTCTGCTCTCTAACAACTGGCCTACAGTAAGGATATGGGATTGTCAATCCACAGACACAGGCTGAGATAATTTATTACACCTTCCACTTGCCCTAGTCAAGTTTGAGGGTGGAGAGGAAAGATTCAGGTATGGAAGTAAGGCAAGTCTGTATTCAGATCTCAGTGCTGCTGCTGGTGTTTGAGTACCAGTACTCAGGTGCACGTGTCAGGCCTAAAGCCTCAGGTTCCGGCCTTGAGCATGTGGACGGTGCTAAGTCTCACTCTCCTCATCTGAAAAATGGGGTACTGCTAAGAAAATTAAAGCACATACTACGTGCTGAGTGACTATCAGATAGTAAATCCTTAATACACAGTCACAATTAATAGTAGCAAGGTGATTATAGCACCTGAGGAGCATCACAGCTCCCATTTTGTCCTTGGTGCTAAGAAACAACCTATGGGCACCGAAAGACCTTTTCACTGACCACAGTATCTGAGAGATGTTATTCCTGTACAGTACCTGTAGATGGGCTAATTTGGGCTGGCTTTTGGCTACACAGTAGAGTAGCTCTCTGTTCCTTAAACTGTATGGCTGATTGTATTAGACCACATGTGTCAAACACAAGGCCCGCGGGCCAAATCCGTCCCGCCAGGCCTTGCAATGTGGCCCGCAACGCGCTGTCATCACTGCACTCCACTGCGTTTCCATCACAATGACAGTTTATGACTGTTCAGTAAACCATTCGGCCCGCGATTTAGGCTGGATTTTAGATTTTGGCCCCTTCTCTGATTGAGTTCGACACCCCTATATTAGACACTGGAAGGACCTCCAAGGACATCACTGACCAGGTGACTCCAGAATGTCCTCTTGTTCTCTTCTGGTCAGGGCTGGGAGGCTTTAAATCAACTCTACAAGGTGCATGAGGCTGAAAAAATGCACCCAGCTCTTGAGGTAATGAAGGAAAGACATCTAGACACATAAAGAGGCTCTCTGGGCTGGATTGCATGCCTATTTAAGGGTTTGGTAGAGAAGCACGCTAGCCTGACCCAGAGACCACTATATACATTGCTCCCTGTGTAAGGGCACAGAGGTTCAAAGTCTCTTTGAGGAAATATATTACTCTTTTTGGTATTTCTGACATTAAGTCTTCTATATACATTCCAAATCTAGAAAGTTTGAAGTACCGATCCTCATCTTCTTGAAATATAACAAAATAAGCATCTGAACCAGAAGTAACTTTTTTTTTTGCTCCTGCAAAGTGCCTGCTATCCTTAGAATGTGTCATTGAACTCCTAATGGGAATATGTAAATCTTTCCAAAGATCTTTAATGTCTTAAAATATCCAATGTTAAGTTTGTGTGTCCTGATGATGGCCAAAAGTCTAGCTCCCTGGGCATCACTTTAAATCAGTCTTTGGCTCCAATTCTGTCTAATTTACTAGCTTATCAGACAGAGATAAACTTCAAGAGATAAACTGTCATGTGAAGAATCAAGAAAATCTCTAAGGAAAAAAGTCCATCTATCAATTAGCAGAATTCCAATAGGGACATATTGTTGGCAGCATGGACTTGCCCTGGTTTCCAAGGACCCTGTAAATTATCCTCTTCCTTCTATGATTTGTTAATTTCCACTGAAAAGATTCAGTGGTAGATGGAGGCCAAGGGTTGGTGTGGTCCCTTCCCCAAGGATTCTTATTCTTTTGCTTTCAGACTAGTTTTGAATCTAGACTTATTCCTCAGCTCCTCGCTCACTATATAGAACAGATATTTTTTGTAGGGAACTCATAGGTGCATAAAGGAGTGAAAAGTAAGATCATATTTTATTTACTTTTATAAGTTAGTTTCTCATAGCAGCCAGCTTAGAGCCCTGCATGGAATAGGTAGGCACTTTTCAACTCTTTGTGGAATGAGTGAAAAATCTAAGTCATTGGTCTTTGTTCCAAAACTGTTGCTTTCCCTCTCTACTAAGGAGAAAAGGAGTCACAGCTAATCTTTCAAAGGCCCACCTGCAGTTCCTACCAGTCAGGCCTATGGGAGGAATGACCACACTTCTTCTAGGCCCGGGGTTAGCAAGTAAGCTAACAATATCCCAGAGACATTAAGCATAAATATGCAAATATACAAATATAGTAAACAGCTAGGCTCACGGGGAGTTGAAACCATTAATTTCAATATTGAAAACACCACTCACTTAGATCTGAAATATAATATGTTCTTAAACGTAAGACACATTCCCCTGAAACTGGCTAACAGAGCTCAGTCCACCGGGAAATACCGCTTGCCGAGTGCCCTCGGGAGGGAGGGAGAGCCAGGTCTCAAGCTGCAGTGCATTTCACTATGTATCTCTTACTGAACTTGGGTTAGGGCGACGATTTGGGACTTAATAGAGCAAAACGATGTCTTCCCTTTCTCCACCACTTATATATAACAACTGGGAAACATCTTGTTATTTCTCCACCAATTACCAGGAACTTCACTTGTTTGTTGATTTGAGAGACAACCCATGATTAGTAATTCAACTGAAAGAGATATTTTTAAAGGAAACTCTTCTCCATTATGGATAAATATGACAGGTGTAAGTCTCTTTACTCCCGAATATCTGGTAGGTGTAATGTACCATTCCCTGAGCAATTACAAACATATCACGTTCATGAGAGCATACTTTGTATTTGGTAACCCTGCAATTATAGCTGAATCTAGAAAGCTAAGGGGACTTCATTACCTAGAACAAGAGAATAATAACCATGTAGAACTTCAGTTCATGCCAGGCCCAGAGGGATCAAGCCACTGAAAGTGGCCCCTTTGACCACACAAGGTCATGTGCGATGGTTGTTGGGTGGGACTTTGTTTGAACCAACTGGTTCCCAACTCAGAGAGCACAGCTGCCTGGCAGTTTATGGGCTGTGTTAGGGCACAGCGTCCAGAAACCCCAATTCTCAACTCTTGCTGCCTTTTAGGAACTTTTCATTTCTTCTGGATCTTAAAATATATCTGCCATAGTCCCACACAACTAGACACACACACATTCCGCAGTGTGGATTCCATGCTCAGCACACTGGAACCCAGGGCACTTACACAGAGACAGCATCATAAAGATTGCTCCCAGTCGGTAAGACTCCAGTGACCTCCACTGAGGTCCACCAATGACATGTTTACCCGGATTCCATCTCAATAATTTTAGAAATGGCATTTTCCAATAGATTTTGCACACAAGGAAAATAGTGGCCGAATGAGAAGGAGAAGAAATAGTTCATTTGGCAAGGACAGTGCTGAATATTTAGCCTGGGAACAACCCAAGTCATTTCTAGTACACTTTAGGACAAGTCATGACTACATCACAACATGCTTTCACCACATGGTAAAAGGACTCCAAGGCCAACAGCACAGGTGCAACCACTGTGGCCCTTTGGCGATGCAAAGTGTTGCAGTAACTTCTTGCAGTTGGATCATGTCAATAATACCAAACTGACAGGAAGCCACCTCTATTTTCACACATCTACTCACAAAACCACAGAGAACCTGACTTTGGAAAGAGTTACACACACACACACACACACACACACACACACTACAAAACAAACATGTGACGGTGATTACAACCACAGAGAAAAACAACTCTTGAGAAGATGAATAAGGAGGCATCTCAACAGTATGTTTTCAACAACACGCCCTTAGATAGAGAACACATTGAAGAATCTGCACGGGAAATATTAACCCAAAATGGTAAAAAAAAAAAAAAAAGCTATCGATGAGGATCCGGTCATGCTTCATGCAACATACAACAGCAGCAAAAACAGGTGAGGTCATACGGTGAATGTTTCGATACATCATATTTAGAAATATGCCCAAATACCCTCAGAAAAACAGAAGCTCTGAGTTCCTCTCAATAGACAGTACTCATCAGAGTTACTTCCAAAGAAATACATATGCAAAATCTGAGCATCTAAATAAGTGCAAGGAAAATGAGGTAAGTGTAAGGGCTTGGTCTCTGTTTTGTGGATAAAAGGACACGAATTCTGCTCTACCAACTGGGAAGTGGACACAGGGAGGCGGGGGTCACTGGGAATGTGGGTGTGGGATGCAGACAAATGGAACCAGAGTCTGGTGGACACCACGACACAATCGGACAGGACAGAAACAGACACCGAGGGCTGGACAGAAGCGTCCTCCTTTTCAACTTGAATAGATTTGTTCTCATCATTGGTGCCATGACAAAACAGGATTGTGTCTTTTGATTTTTTTTTTTAAGTTTTCCTGCAAAGAAGTTAGTGCGTCATCCAAAAGAATCAACAAGTCAAACAAGAAAAGCAATGTGCTACTTTCAATTTTTATGTCCCCTAGTTGGAGAGGGGTTTATATATAAATATACATATATAATTATATATAAATATATATCTATATATACTGATGAGGGAGTGAGATTATATACTCATATATATATATATAATCTCTATCTTCCTGAATTCTTGACAAATAGTTAGTCTTGTGGTTAGAAGTGAAGATAGAGGGTGGAGGTTGGGAGGAAAGTTAACGAAGAGTGCATACCGCTTTCGGCTTCTGCAAAACGACAAGAAAAGAATTTAAGATCAAACAATTTGATAATAAATTGATTGACACCAGAAGGAAAAGAAGGAATAAAACCTTTGTTTCAAATTATTTGAAGGATACATTGTGAAAACAAGGTTTTTCAGCAAAGCATGAGAACAGTGTCATGGGGTGGAGGGACAAGGTCATTCAGGATAGTCTGGGGCGCTGGGGTGGACAGAGGAGCAGGGCTCTCGGATTTTAACACCTGGTCACTTCAGAAGTGTGAGAGGAAAGCAAATGGGAAATGTTTTAATGCAGGGGGGGAAAATCCAAGGTATCACCTCAGGAAGGGTCGAACACTCGATTCTTGGAGATATGGGCGCTGTGTTTGATAAGCCCTGTGTTTTCTCACAGGCACGATTCACATTCCTTCAAACACACCTTTTTCCACAAGAACCAATGAGCTTCACACTGAGACCAAGCCGCATCTGAGGATTCAAGCTGGCAAAGGCACACAGAAAGCCAAAACAAAGCCAGACAAGTTCTTTTTTCCCTTTCTTAAAAAAAAAAAAAAAAATCTACAAAACTCTATCTGCAAATGTGGCTTTGTTGAAAACATCTCTGATTTCGTGAATTAACTGGAGGGTCCATCAAAGGAAAGATCGTGTCTTCGGGGAAAGCTCTGATTTCTTTTTCTTAGAGTGGGGGCAGGGCTTCACAAGGGACCTTTAGCAGCCTGTTTCTCTCCCTCCTGGGGACCAAAGAGTGGCAGGTGGGAGGGGACTGGGTAAGGTTCAGAGTACAGTCTCTTGCTAGGAAATGACTCCAGAATGCTTGAGAAAGGCTACTCAGCATCACCCACACCGGGACACTTTGATGAGAGATGCACAGGAAAGGGAGAACACTGAATTGTACAAAGAATTACTGAGTTGGCAGCACAAAGAATATCATTTGCAACCCTCCTCCCCAACCGCCCAGGTACAGGTGAGCATCGCCAACAACATGGACAAGCAGCAGTCCCAGGAACGTCCATGTCATCAGCTGAACAACAGGACTCTCAGTGGTTTTTTTTTTGTTGTTGTTGTTGTTGTTTTTTGCAAATAATATTCTTCACTTGCCAACAGGAAAAGTATGTGTGTCTACATATGTATGGACTAACTGCTACAGCCATGTTCTATACGTGGCTACCAAATCTACCACTTTCTCTTCCTTTTGGTTGATTTAGATTTTCCTAATAGCTGAACGTTGGATCAGATTGGCATGGAGCAATCTGATCTGGGGTTGAGGTAACAGAGAATGTTGGATTGACTTGCTTACAATCCAGGGTGTTTTTTGTTTGTTTGTTTGTTTTTTGTCATGGAGACACAGACTGAACACTTGGAGGTCTGGCTTTATGGGGTCATTCATCCAAATAATGGAGACTCCTTAAATGGCCATAGCAGGAACCTTCTAGCTTTGCCCTGCACGCTGTATGGTCAGTCATTCAGGTGTGTCCAAGGGTGTATGCCCTACAGGGAGACTACCTGACCACAACTAGGAACAAACCAGGGATGTCATTTCAGAGGACAAAAGCCTGAAGATGTCTCAATGAGTTATCTTTCTTCCAAAATGTCTGATAAAAATGGGGGAAAGGGGTGGCAGAAATCATCTCTATTTTATCTGTAATGCGTACAGTGTTCCATCCACAGAATTCCTTGTTAATGCGACGCCTCCTTCTTCCAGGGTGAGCTCATCTATTGACTGGGGTGTTATCAGTTTCAGCCAGACCCAGTCCCTCATCAGTCTCATTTGCACGTAATTACGTGCAAAATAAATAAATAAAGAGGGCTCCTGCCTCTGCGCCTTGCTCTCCTGGCTAATTTCCATGAAGCTGATACGCTGCCACCTGGATGTTGGTTGCACCTGGAGAAGCACATATGGTCCACAATAGGCTGCTTGTAATCCTGCTATCAAGAGAGCTCGGATCTCCCATCTCAGCCCTGCCCCCTGCCTGCTGGCAATGAGGCTGGGTCTACTTGCTTTGTGCTCACAACAGTAAAAGGGGTAAGAGGAGTGTCTGACCTCACTTGGATGCAGAGAGCTGAAAAGTGAAAGTTGGTACCATCGGCTGGAGGGCTGGTCTCATCCCTTTCCCTAGACTCTAGGGCCTAGAGCAGGCGTCTTCAAACTACGGCCCGAGGGCCACATGCGGCCTGCAGAGGAGTCTGATCCGGCCCGCCAGGTTTTTTGGGCAGTGAGCGCAGCCGAGGTGTTACAGTAGGAATTAGTAGTTCATATAGTCCGGCCCTCCAGCTCTCTGAGGGACCGTGATCTGGCCCCCACTTTAAAAAGTTTGAGGACGCCTGGCCTAGAGGAACACTCTCAAGGCCCTGGGGGCTCCAGGTGCCCGGCGGGTCTGGGATAGAGAAGCCAGTGCCTGGTCGAACATGCCTTGAGATGTGTCCTAGGGACTGAGAGGTGTTGCCTCAGGGTCTCAAGCAAGTAAATAATACCCAAGACAGAGAAGTGGACCAGAATGCACACTCATCATCATCAATGTGAGCTGGCAGCGGAGTCACAGCAAACTTACCGGCTCTCTCGGTTGGCGGACTTGTACTCAATGGCTATCATTAGGAGCTTGAGCTTCACAAAACACAGCCTGCAATGAGATGGAGACACCTCCCAGTCAGTGCTTCTGAAGGACCAGGGCCACCCAGCCAACACTGTTACGACCCTTTCATCCCCTAATCCAGTCTTTATCCAAGGGAGCCTCCTTCTACAATCCCTGTGCCAAATGGACAGGGCTGGGAGTGACACCTCCGGCTTCCTCATTAAAGCTGATTTCTTGCAAGCGATAAGGCGCTGAATGTTCAAAGTGCAAATTGCACTCAGGTCTATATGTCTAGACACAGACCCAGGCAGGAATTGGTGTCTGGGGATCTGTGCTGGGCCAGATTCATTAGTTTCTCGGTTGGGTAGTAAAATGTTAACTGCAGGGGGAAGGAGGTTTTTGGAGCAGCTGGACCTGATATTTGGATTCCATTTTGGTCTTTTATATAAATGGCTTATATTGTTGTTCCGAGCAGACCCCTGTGTGCTCCGAATGATGGTAATAATCCTTAGCTTCCGTGTAACTGCCCGGTACATGACTGCAGCACCGTCACTCCTGGCTCCAGCCGCGCTATCCCACCTCATCTGCCCACAGTTCTTGCCTGCCACTCTGGCTGGTTTGAGGCCAACTTCTTCCTCCCTTGGTGCCTTCCCTGATGCAGATCCTGCCCCCAGAACATATTCTCCTCTTTCCTCACCACCTCCCATGCCCACATCAAACCCCACCTTCCCTGTAGGTCTTCTGTGGCCCCCACTGCCCTCTGATTTTCCTTCTATTCTCAGAACTCCTCCAGCAACTTGTCTGCAACCATGTCATCCAGCCCTTAGTCAACTTAACTCTGGCTGTGCCTCCATGTATCTCAGTTTTGTCTTTTCAACCAGCAGAAGTTCTTTTTTAAAAAAATATATATTTCATTGATTTTTTACAGAGAGGAAGGGAGAGAGATAGTTAGAAACATCGATGAGAGAGAAACATTGATCAGCTGCCTCCTGCACACCCCCCACTGGGGATGTGCCCGCAACCTGGGACACATGTACTGCACACCCCAGTACATGTCCTTGACCAGAATCGAACCTGGGACCCTTCAGTCTGTAGGCTGATGCTCTATCCATTTAGCCAAACCAGTTTTGGCCAGCAGAAGTTCTTTAAGAGATCTGGACTGGTTTGGAATGCCCCACAGTATTGCACATGGAACTGCCAATACAGACAAGCTCAATAAGTGATTTCCACGTACTGGGGTTCAGTTCTAAGAAAATAATAAATGGTTCTGTGAAATATTTTCTGCATAAAGATGTTCAAGGTAGTAGTATTTATACAGAGCAAAAAGAATTTAAAGCAACTAAATATGCAGTAATAAAGCAATAAGTATGATGCAATATGGAAAGCATTAGCATTCAAAATGATATTTTAAAATATTTTTATTGATTTTATTTTTAGAGAAAAAACAATGGAGAGGGACATATTGATGCGAGAGTGAGGATTGATCAGCTGCCTCCTACATGCCCCCTACTGGAGATTAAGCCTGAAACCTAAACATGTACCTGACAGGGAATTGAACCAGTAATTTTTCGGTGTATAGGACAATGCCCAACCAACTAAACCACACTGGCCAGGACCAAAGTGACATTTTGAGGACTATCTTAAGGTATAAAATCAACAAATAATATTATATGGGTACAAATATGTAAATAACATGATACAATCAGGTGACAACATGTTCATATACTCAGAGAAATGAAAGCTCATATAAATAAAAAATTATTATGTTTAACTGTGTTTGTACAATGGGCATTATCACTCATGTTCCAAATGCTTTTGTATAATAGAACAATGGTTTCCTGATAGGCGGGGAAGTGACTTGATGGTGATTTAGCTCCAGCATTGTAAGGGGGAGGATATGCTGGGTCTCAGGGCATGGCCTTTCTCAGTGCTTTTTCTTTTAGTCTCACAATATCCCCAAGAGGGAGATAACAGCCCAGTTACTCAGACTTCTGTGGATATCTCTACTTTACAGGTGATGAAACCAAGGCTCAAAAAGCTCATGTAATTTGCCAAGGATCCCACCTACTACTTGACAGATGTACAATATCTTTATCTCCAGAAAAATGCATGTTGGCAGAGAGAGGCAATAAAAAAAATACCTAAGTGAATTAATAATAAATTCCCAGATGAAGACAAGGACTCTGCAGAAAATAAAACCCCTAAGCAAATGAAGAGTAACTGGAAGAGTGTGTTATCTGTGATGGTCCAGGAGGATTGTTCTGAAGACTGGATGGCCCCACTAGATCACAGGGCCCTGGAGCATGATGGGAAAAAGCAGGCAATGAGAGGATCTGGAAAAGAGCATCCTAGAGAGTAGGAACAGCAAGTGCAAGGGCCCTGAGGCAGGAAGGAACTTGGGGTATCTGAGGACCAGAGATACAACCCAGTCATGATAACAACTGGGTCAGGAAGCCAGGCGGGAGCAAGGTCAGAAGACTTTGTTGGCCACAGCAAGCCATCTGTAGCTTATTCCAAGTGCCATTTCAGGAAGTGTTAGGTTGGTTTTAAATAGCAAGGTGCCATAATAAGATGCACTATACATGCGGATGTGTTACTTACAGGTAAAGTACCGGTAAAGGCATCATGCTCTCTGGTGGGAATAAGACCAATTGCTCATTCATGCTTGTGAGGTCATGGTCCTCCATATGGCTTTCAACAGACAGTCAGATTTCAAAGGACCACTTCCAGGCAGGCGTGCCGGGGCTCACGGTGATTTCCAGGTTTTCTGATTCCTGCCAGCAGACTCTAATGTCTGCTGATTACAGTCTGCTGAAACATCAGCCCAAGTACAGCTGGGAAAATGGTCTTCTTAATTTACGTCCCATAGAGCACCACTAACGTGCACCTTTTATGAGGCTCTTACTTCTGGAGCTTAAGCTGTTTAAAATATCAGATGGTGTATGCAGTATTTGTTGAACCAAATTACTAAGATTAAGTAACCATTTCTCTAATATAAATAGCAGCTAAATGCCAAAAGCTCAAGAAGTCTGATCTTAACATAGCACGATCATGAAGAGACCAATTTGCTGATATTCTATGAGCAACGGCCACTCTGATTTGGGACTCTGGTAGTTCATAGGATCAATGATCCTTATCGCTTTAACAGCCTGATCCTACAGGTGAGAAGGGAAGAAATGGTTCATGGTGATAATGAATAATATCTTTAAGCTACTATTAAGCTACTATGATATCATTTACCAACAAGATATACAAAGAAAGGAGTTTTCTAATGCAGAAAAGTTGATAAAATCTATGTGGCCTTGGGCATCTTGGTAGCCTAGCAGGGGTTTGCCAGCAGATCTCTGACTCCTCTTTCATAACTTTCCAATCCCTACCTCAGATAATCCTATTCTACTTTAGAGATGCCTCTCTTTAAGAAGCCCTCTGACCCAAGACATGCCTTTGCTCACTGGCCAAAGGGACAAAGAGGAGAGGGACAGAATGGTGTAAACAAGGTGATTACATACAAACAGTGCCACAACCACAGATTGCGAGGCCCTTTTGAGACTTCGGATCCTGCTCTCCTGGTATAGATGACAAACTGAGGTCCAAAGACAGGGAAGCAACTTGCTCAAGGTCCAATGGCCCTTATATAAGAAAGCTGAAACTGGATATTAAGCAATTTGTTCAAGGTTAAACAACTTTGATATAGAAATGTCAAAAGTGGAAATCAAGTCTCTATGCGGAGTGCTGCACAGATGTTTCTCATCAAAGCGGAAGAAATGAAGGGGTGGCCAGAAGTCCAATGTGCAGACATGCTCTGTTTGGTCAGCACAGCATTTTTTGTGTTTTAACTGGAATTAGATACCAACAGGTGATTTTATATAAAAACCATTTTTTTGTCTTTCCTGGACAAATAAGATATGGCCAAGCTGAAGCTCCATTTCCTATGACTACAGAGATTGGAGTTTCAAAGCACTTGCCCCTTTGGATGGGACCTATGCTCCCCAATGTGCCACAGTCCCCACCACTCCCTATTGTCTCAGACCTTTCTGATCACTCTTCATTGCTCACTGCCCATTACAGCAATCAAAGGTTTTAACCTCCGCTCTAAAAGCATCACCTGGATGTTTGCAAAATATCAACACTGGATAACTTATTATTTACACTGCTAGCAGAATTGTGTCTCCCTTGTGAAAATCACAGTTTTTCATTAGACACTGCCGCAGAGAGCTGGCCAATGTCAGGTTACTAGGCTTAAGGCTCAGCAGAGGTGCACCCCATGTTGGAGGTCCAGTGGAGAAAAGCAGATCAAGGCCAATAAACAGGAGAATGGGTGTGGTGTAGTGTGGTAATCCTTGATTTATACACCTCTCTGCCCTCTAGACTGAGCTTTTTCTGTGTGAGACTCAAGCTTTATCTCCCTGACTTTCTGCAAAGTGGAAAGCATAAGCCTCCCATAAATGCTGATTAAATAAATGTATGAAAGAATGGGGAGCAGAACCTCACGAGTGGCTGGAATAACACAGAAGAGATAACATGGCAAACTGGGAAAGTCTCCTTTAGGCAGAGAAGGCTTAGAAGTGAGTACAGAATCATGAAACAAGATGCTTCTTAATGTGTCTTGTTCTTTAAAAGCACACAGACCGGGGTGGGGGTGTGCAGAAGGAAATAACAGCAGCGATGTGCTCTGGGAATCTAATTTTTGCCTTCTACCCAAGATGCCTTGCTGGAAGCACAAATCTCAGATACAGACAGCAATTTCTCCTTGGGACCCTCTACCAACTCTCACAAGGGGTTCGTTGCTAAGGATGTGCCTGCATACTCCCCAAAATTGATTTCCTGAGATTAAATGTTTTACTTGCATCATTCGACACCATTATTTTTGGTAAAGCAAAATAGGATTTGCTCATCTAATCCTTGGTTACTCCCTGGCCTTACTCAGACTTCCGTGTTTGAATATATCTCGGACAGCAGACAGCGTGGTGAGAAAGGAGGCTGAGGGGCAGGGGGAAGCAGGGTAGGAGAGAAGTACGAAAGCTCTCCCAGAGTTATAAGCAGGATGG